TGCATCGGCGATACATCGGCGATGCACTTGCGACGCCAGCGATGCATCGGCGAAGCTGGCGTGGAGAAAAGAGGGCTCCAGATCGAGCCGCATCGCCGATGCATCGCCGATGCGGCGCGATTCTGCGACACCATCTACTCCAGATTCCGTAATAACAGGGAGGGGGTCTGGACCCTCCAAGACAAGCCATTGCAGACCTCCCCCGTGGGAGAACCCTCCAAAACAGCGTCCCCAGACCCCCCCAGGCCCTCCAAGATAGCCTGGAAGAGACCCCCCCCGAAATGAGACCCCCCTCCCTTTATTACGAAATCTGAGCAGTCTTGAAGGCCTCTTGGGCCCTCTTGGAGCGTCCGGAAGCGAAAAGGCGAGAACGCAAAAAAACATAGAAAAAACCAATGAAAATCAACGATTTTGGCAACTTGGGGCCCTCTTCGGAGGCCTCTTGGAAGGCCCTTGGAGCGTCTTGAAGGCCTCTTGGAGCACTCCGACCCGATCTGGGAGGCCCCGCTGCTGGGCCGGCGCTGCTGATTATCGCAGGGGGGCACCGTCCGCGGCGACGCCGACAGCGACTCCTGCTCCACTGCTATCGTTATCGTTATCGTTGATCGTTATCGTTATCGTTGTGATCGTTATCGTTATCGTTATCGTTATCGTTATCGTTGGCACCGTCCGCGGCGACGCCGACGGCGACTCCTGCTCCACTGTTATCGTTATCGTTATCGTTGATCGTTATCGTTATCGTTGTTATCGTTATCGTTATCGTTATCGTTATCGTTATCGTTGGCACCGTCCGCGGCGACGCCGACGGCGACTCCTGCTCAAACGCGGACACGAGCCGCAGCCAGCCTCCCTTCTCGTCCATCCAACCTACCCACTTCGACCGCACCGAGCCGCCAAGGCCGCGGACACGGACATGCTCCCCGCCCACGGACACGGGCACGGCCGCGGAACATGAGGAAGTATGGGCAGTCCTGGAAACCTTGAAATCCTGGAACGTATCATTATCATGACCTCCTGCTCCTCTGAATGTCGCTCCACTTCCTGGGGCGGAAGGCCGGGAATGGCTCGAGGCGTTACGCCTGGGGACCTGGAATGGGGGCACCAAAAGGTACTGGTATCGCTACTCCCCAGACCTCTCCAGGGGCGCTCTCTGACCAGGATTTCGAGGCGCAGCCAGCGGTGGCGACGAGGGCCTCCCAGGAGGCCCCAAAAGGGAACAGAAATGCCAAAGGGTAGCGGCATGGGTGCCTGTTCCGGAGGGAAAAAACGGCATAAACATACACGTTTGGCGCTCGGCGCAAATCTCTTGCATCGGCGCCGGACCCCACTCCCTGGCGCGCGGAGCGCGCCAGGGTCAGCACTGGGCGTGGATCCAAGAAATCCGCGAGGAGCGCCCACAGCTTTTTGTTTATGGCGTTCTTTCTTCTTCGAATTTCCTCCCCTGACGGACATGCTTCCCCGCCCACGGTGGCAACTCATGAGAGCCTCCCATACCATCTTGTCTGCTCCTGCGAGTTGACACTGATCGACGCTAGTCGACGCTAATCGACGCTAATCGACACTAAATCGGCGCTATCTCATCGACTCCCAGACGCGAATCGACGCTGAAGACGGAATGAAGTGGGTACACAAGGCTCCCATGGTTTGCGACCGAACAAATCGACGATCACGGCATTCCCAACCTGAGGACAGTGTAGCAACGTTTCGGCCAACGACACTTGTGCATAACTGCCGCCCGGGGGATCGACACAAGGCATGAAGAGGGTACAAGCGGCTTCCATGATTTGATTACGTGGGGAAACCAAAAGGTACCGATAGCGCTACTCCCCGGACCTCTCCCGGGGTGCGTCCTGACCAGAATTTCGAGGCACTCCACATTGGCGGACGATGGCCTCCCAGGAGGCCCCAACAGGGGAAAACGTGCGAGGGGGAAGAGTAAAGTCGGGCCTGTTCCGCCCGACGAGGGGATTTGCGAACGAACAACTCAAAATACCCAACAAATCAAAACCATTGTCCAAAATACCGGGACTATTTTTTGCACATTTTTCTGACCCTCCTAGGAATCTTGTTTAGGTATCTTTGATTTTTTCGTCGAAAGTCTCCTGTAGGGGGACGCGCCCGACATAAGGGTAGAGGTATGGGTACCTTTCCCGCCCTCTAAAACAGGGCTATGATCGGGAGACAATCGCTCCAGAGCGTTCCGGAGCGCTCTCAGAGCGTTCCGGAACGCTCTGGAGCGGCCGCGGCGCCCAACACAGCCTCCAACCCCGCCGATCCTCAGAGATTTCGAGCTATCCCGACCCGATTTTGTCCCGACCTTCGCGTCGTTTGAGCATCTGCCCTCGAGCCCGCCCGCGGAGGTCCACTTGACCAGCGACCGCAGGCGCTGCTCGGCCTGCGGCTCCGCCCGCGGCGCGCCCTCGCCGCCGGCCTCCCCCGCGGGGCCGCCCGCCGGCTCCGGCCGCAGGGCGCCGCAGCAGGCGCCGGCCGCCCACGCCGCCTCGCCGAGGAGGAGCAGGGAACGGCCCTCCTCCTCCTCCTCCACGTCCTCCTCCTCCTCCTCCTCCTCCTCCTCCTCCTCCTGCGCCCGGCCTCCTCCTCCTCCCCCCTCACTCCTCCTCCTCCTTCCCCCCCTCCTCCTCCGCCTCCTCTCCGTCCTCCTTCCCCCTCCTTCCCCCTCATCCTCCTCCTCCCTCCTCCTCCTCTCCTCCTCCTCCCTCCCTCCTCCTCCTCCTCCTCAGTCTCCGCCTGCCTCGCTCCTCCCGCCTACTCCTCCTCCTCCTGCGCCTCCTCCTCCGTCCCCTCCTCCTGCCTCCTCCTCCTCCTCCTCCTCCTCCTTCCCCTCCTCCTCCCCTCCTCCCTCCTCCTCCTCCTCCCGCCTCCATCCTCTTCCGCCTCCTCCTCCTGCCTCCTCCTCCTGCTCCTCCTCCTCCGCTCCTCCCCGCCTCCCCTCCTCCTCCTCCTCCTCCTCCTCCTCTCTCCTCCTCCTCCTCCTCCTCCTCCTCCTCCTCCCCCCCCCCAGCACTCAGGCATCGTGTAGAATAAGGAGGCACAACCCAGACACCCTCGCGATGTGACAAACATCACGACAGGATGCTTTTTCGCTATTTTGGGCCTCCGGGGGCCCTGACCTGGCGCCAGGACCGTCGGAAAACGACTCAGGAGAAAAAACCGGTCCCAAGAAGGGATCCAGACCTGTGGGGGTTGACGCTGCGAAAAAGAATCACGACGTCGGGGGTCTGGGAAGAAGGACGCACAGTGAGGATACAAGGGCCTTCGAAGGCCATCTCGACATTGCGGGTGGGGCGCGGCCAGCGAGAGCGGCCCAGGAGGGGCCGAAGGGGAAGGATCCAAGGGGTGACCTTGGAAAGTTGCTCCTCCTTCATTTGCGGGTTGACTGTAAGCAGCACACGCAGACCCAGATATCCGACGATCACATTTCTGTTCCATCCGGGGGGCGTGCTGGATTTCGTCGTCGAGGTCCCGCTTTCGGGGCCCGGGGCCATCAGAAACGGAAGTGGGCCCTGGGCGGAAAGCTGGCCCGAGGGAAGGGGTCGAGAACTCCGGAGCCGCGCATGGAGCCAACCAGGCATGCGAGTCGGAAGAAGCAGGTCGAAGCATGAAGCAAAAAGGCCGATAGTGGTTCGGGATCCGGCCCTCGAAGAGGATCACAAAAATGCATCAAACAACCATGGCGGTGCATGAGGAAGTAAGGCGCCGAAAGTAGATTGGGACGGGTGGATCCAAAATGATTAGCTACAACAGGACCCCTAACCCTCGGGGAGGGGGCCTAAGCTAGGATGGCCAACACACATGAGGGATAGGGGGTCTTGTCTATAGATGCACAGAGCCAACCTGCCTAGACTCATCATCCCTGATGCAAAGACGGGGACCTCAGTGAGGCTACACCTTCATGGTGTTCGTATGGTTCGGGCATGTCCTCCTACAGGCGGACATTGGAAGGATGATGAGGAGCTCATAATGCTCCCCAAAAATAATGGAAAATCGCCCTCAGTCTGATCTTCGACCCTTTTGAACATTCCCCCTGTAGAGGAACATGCCCGACTTGAAGTTAAAGGCTCTCTCATCATCGATGACAAAAAATACATGCTTTCAGCGACCGGCGTGTGCCGCCGTCCTGTCTGGGTACGCGCGCGGGGCCCGCATGTTAGCCGCGCGCAGAAGGGCGTGGGGAGAGGGGGGACGGAAGGCCTCTTGTATGGAGGCTGCGGCTTAGAAGGCGCGGGCCTCACATCTACAGAGAAGGCACGCCGCTTCCAAGAAGCAGGGGTGCATCTAAGAAGCCTTCCCACCTCCCCCTGCCTGCACGGCTTTCCCCCGGGGCCGTAGGCGACCCGAGGAGGAGGAAAAGGAGGAGGAGGAGGAGGAGGAGGAGGAGGAGGAGGAGGAGGAGGACAGGTGCATCTAAGAAGCCTTCCCCCCTCCCCCCACCCCCCTCTGCGCGTGGCTGGGACCGCACTCGCCGCCAGGACGCGCGCCCCTGGGGGGGGGAGGCGAGGGCGGGGAGCACGCACGGTACAAGGCGAGAGCTCGGCGGGCTCCCGGCTGCCTGCCAGACCCCCCCCAGCCCCGCCCGTGGACGCGACTTGACGGGCTGGCGGGAACACGAGAGGAGGAGGAGGAGGAGGATGAGGAGGAGGCGGAGGCGGAGGCGGAGGAGGAGGAGAGGGAGGAGGAGGAGGAGGAGAAGGAGGAGGAGGAGGAGGAGGGAGGAGGGAGGAGGAGGAAAAGGAGGAAAAGGAGGAGGATGCGGAGGAGGAGGAGGATGCGGAGGAGGAGGAGGCGGAGTCGGAGGCAGAGGAAGAAGAGGGGGTACAAATTCCATAGAGCGCGCTTCTTTATGTTCGGCGATGACGGGCGTCATGGGGGGGGGGGGGGCGGGGGGCGGAGTATGACGTAACGCCCCCCCCCCGCCGTGTGGCTCCGGCACCACAGCCGCGCCCGCGCGCACGACGCGACGAGCGACAAGCGGCGACGACGATGACGACGACGACGACGACGCGAGCAGCATGTAGGTGGCGATCTGCCCCACTGCGCCTGTGTACACCACAACGCTCGCGCGCACCACAACGCGGGTGTACACCACAGCGCCTGCGTACACCGCAACAACCGTGTGCAACGCAGCGCCTGTGTACACCGCAATGCTTGCGTACAGTACAGCGCCGGTGTACATGTGTACACCGCAGCAACGATGTGCAACACAGCGCGTGTGTACACCACAACGCTTGCGTGCAACGCAACGCCCGTGCACGCCACAGAGCCTGTGTAAACCGCAGAATCCGCGGGCAACGCAACGCTCGTGTACACCACAGTGCCTGCGTGCACAGGACAAGTAGAACGAACGTGTACGTGAGGATCTGCTGCGGACAACTGAACGCCACGCCAGGAGAATGCGAATAATCGAATGCGACGTTTTTCCCTCCCTCCTCCACCTCCACCTCCACCTCTTCCTTCTAATCCTCTTCTTCTTCTTCTTCTTCTTGTTCTTATTCGTCTTTTTCTTATCATTAATATTATTATTCCTCCTCCTCCTCTTCCTCCTCCTCCTCCTCCTCCTCCCCTCCTCCTCCCTCCTCCTTCTCCTCCTCCTCCTCCTCTCCTCCTCATCCTCCTCCTCCTCCTCATCATCCTCCTCCTCCTCCTCCTCCGCCTTACCCCCTGTCGTGAGGACTGGCGGCACAGCGCACGTGCGCATCTCAGCGTGCACCGCAGAATGGTCTATTGAATCAGTCCACTTGGTTCCTGGACGGCCAATTTAGCTGGAGCCTCCTGGACGCAGGCGGGAGGAGTTACGGTGACGTGGGCGGACTCGGGAGGACTCATAGATTCCACCGGCGCTCCTTTGTCCAGACGGATTATTTTCTAGTGTTTTCGGTGGAATCCACAGGCGCTCCATTTTGTCAAAACGATTCCTTCTAACATTCTATATACAACAATGGTGATGTGTTGCACACGGCTGCTGTGGTGCACACAAACGCCGTGGTGTACACAGGCACTGCAACGCACGCGGGCATTGTGTACACTGGCGCTGTGTTGCACACGGCTGATGTGGTGTACACAAGAGTTGTCGTGCCCGCGGGTACGGTGGCACAACCTGACGCGGTGTTGCACGCGGCTGCTGTGGTGTACATAGGCGGTGTGGTGCGCTGTGGTGCACGCAGGCATCAGGCGTTGTGGTGCAGATCGCCAACTACATGCTGGTGCCACCTGCCCTCCGCCGTTCCTGAGCATTCCCACGCCGCCGGCGCGGAGCGTGACGTCGTCGACCCCCTCCACCCCCCCCGCAAATGACTGCCGTCATCGGCCCGGAATAAAAACACACAGGCTCCAGCCGCGTCCGACGACGACGACGACGACGACGACGACGATCATTTTAAGACTGATTGTTCTCATTTAGTCGTGTTCCACGCAACACGTATATCCCAAGCCCTCGATACCCGCCCTCTTCTTCTTCGCCCGTACCCCCTCGGGGGTATATCTTCCTTACCTGCCGCGCACATTGAGCGCAGCCCCTAAAACAGGGGAAGGGAGGACGGACAGGGGAAGAGAAGGATGGACCACGAGAGAGGGCCTCTCGGAGAAAATCCCGAGGAAGCATCGAGCGGGGGCACTTGTCATCGCGGCTGCGTCCCACTAATTTGACTGAGTTGCGAGGATGTCCACTGCGAGAGTGGTGCTCCTGAGTTCGGGAACCTCACTGGCCAGGGCCTCCCAGATCACGAGGAAATATCGAGCGGGAGCCTTGTCGCCGCGGCTGGGCATCCGCGAACCTGATTGGCTTGCGAGGACATCTCATGCGGGAGCGCCGTTTCTAAGTTCGGGGGCCTCTCTGGCCAGGGCCTCTCACGTCGTGGAGCCCTTGCCGTCGTAGTTGTGCTGCCACCAACTCGGCTGACTTACGGGGGCGTCTCGACCGGGGCCGTTCATGAGTTCGGTCTTCCTGGTAGCAGTACGCTTCGGTGCAAGTCATCAAGAATAGAGCAGACTCAGCAGTGCACTCTGTATGCGCACCACTCTGTCATGGCCTGCATGTTGGCGAATTCGCCCGCGGGTAACTCCGCCGACGCAGCTTGCAGGACGCCAACGCGACTTCACAAGTCTTGCACTTCGTCTACGGCGAGGGCGAAGATAGCGGGATGCAGCGAGTCGCACAGCCAAGCAGAGTCGCGCGCAAGCGCGGCCGTAGGCGGCCGGACGAGCGCAAGCCAATGTCTAGGGGAGGGCTGATGCAATATTAGGGCCTCTGTGGGCAAGCTTGGGGCCTCTGCGGGCTAAGGCCTCTGTGGGCGCGCTTGAGGCCTCTGTGGGTCGTGTCGGAGGGCCTCAGGGGGCAGCGCGCGGGGGCCTCCGTGGGCTCGCTTGACGACTCCTCTGTGGGCTGGGGCCTCTGTGGGCGCGCGTGGGGCCTCTGTGGGCGTTGTCGGGGGGGCCCAGTGGGCAGCGCGCTGGAGCGCTTGGGCAAGGGCCTCAGTGGGCGGC